GAATGATATATTTTTGAATTTTTTTCGCGCAATTCTCTTGGTTAGGAAACGTGAAATACTCAGGAAGTAAGATTTTCCAAGTGTGTAAAACACCGCGTTTTTGCTTTAGCTCAGTCAAATTAAGCCGGAACTTAACCATTTTCTCAGGGTTTATAGTACTCGACGTAGGCTTTCTTTTGGCGAAAGAACGGAGTCTGTATCTATCAAGGAAGTTGAGTTATTGCAAAAACAAAAAAGATTTTAAACTTTTGTGGAGCACTTTTACTGGTACTGGTACCGGTACTGGTGCATACCTAATGTGAACTATTCCACAAATCTCAAACAGAAATGGTATGATGTGGAATATTGAATGAATTGTGAACTATTTTCATTTGAATGAAATTTAATTGAAAATGTGATATTGATCGATAGGTTTGGACGGGCCTGTTGTTTATAAAATAGTTAAAACTTACAATAGTCGAATTATCGGTTGCTCAACACAAGTAAAAGAGAACAAAAAACCAATAACGTATTCATAAACTGATTTGGGAGGAAAAAATAAATATATTCAAAATTGACTGAGACAAATTAGAAAATTTTTCTGACTTTTTTTTAATACAATTTATTTGTCTGCAGGATGTTTTATTGAACACTATATTCTTTTATCAAATCTAGAAAAATCTTGAACAGTTTGAAAAACAATTAAATAAAACTCTCAAATCAATGTAAAATGAAAGTTCTGTAATGCAGGAGATAGACGAGAACGATGAAATTCGTTAGTTTATCCATTAGTTGGATATATTTTTCATTGTTCATTAAACCATATATAACGTCATTCCTACAGACTTTACACAAAAGAAAAACAGACATATAAGAATATTCATAGATATTAGATGTACATATTCTAATAGCATTACTCATATTGATTATTTTTTCGTGATAATCACTTAAAACTTATATTTTAGATGTCGATAACTTACACAATCAAAACAAAATGGAATTCGTTGCCGATTAATCATCGTCCAGTTCAAATCACTCTGTCGTCAATACCATCGACAAATGGTATTCTTATTAATATTGAAGCACCATTATTTTCCGATCCTCCTTCTCCCACGAGTGAACCAGGTCCAACTGACAAATTATGGAATTATGAAGTTGTTGAAATAATGTTATTAAATTCAAAAACAAATCATTATTTAGAATTAGAGTTCTCACCTTCTGGTCATTATCTTGTTCTGTTTTTAAATGGTCGTCGAAATATAGTAAAACATTTATTACCATTAAATTATACGGTTACATGTACTAATGATAGTTGGTCAGGTATAGCCGACATTCCATTTGATTATTTTCCAAAAAATATCGATCGTATTAATTGTTATGCAATATATGGATCAAATGAAGATCGTGTTTATGAAGCATTATATCCTGTACCTCTTAATAAATATAGTGAGCCCGATTTTCATCGTTTAGAATATTTTAATAATATTGACTTTAAATTATTAATGATAAACAATCATGTTAATGACCAAAGTGAAAGTAAAATATGGACAGAAAACTTATCATAGGAGATCATATAGAATTCTACTCTTAATTGTTAATGATGATATTTTATAGTTATTCGTTTTTTGTTTTTTTTTCATTAGTGTCTCGAAAGGATTTTGTCTTTGTTTCAAAGTAAAAAAAATCAGTTTAAGAATATTTAATTGAAAACTCCAATCATAAATTGATTCAAAGTGACTTCCGTTCAATTTATTAACTTTGTAACTTACTTTCTCTCGACATGAAATTTTATAATATATATATATGTTTGTATGTAATATATCATCATTTTAAAATCTACAAGTCACATCCGTTATGTTTGATTGTAATAAAATAACATTAATTTTTTCTTATTTCAATAGAATATGTCAGTATCAATTTTCGTTCATAATGAAATACCTCAAGTAATCACATAAATCAATGTTTCTTTAGTATTAAAATAAATGCCTTGTACAAAAACATAGAAAAAGTCATTTTTAAGAAAACAATTGTGTTCAACATAATTTTTAAGGTTTTCTTTTTGTCATAATGTAGTTTCTCTAACATGGCGCAGAAGTATGTATAAATCAGAGACAACGTCAAATTGACGTCATTTATTGTTAAATTTGTTTTAAACTGGAGAAAACATGCAACTATCATTATCACAATTCCTTTTATACGCTAAGTTGACAGTGGCTTAAATCTAAAATGTTTACTCAAAATTTTAAAGGTTTTTTCGCATAAACATAATTAGGGCAATGATCTGAGTGTTATGATCTGCTTGCTATACACCACACCGTAGACAAAATTTACTATCATCCCAAACCATCCAGATATATGTAAAATATGATGAGTAATCTGTCAAGGAAATCGTAAGAAAGTTTTGTGACGAAAAAATCCATGAATGATGAGTCTAAATTTCATAATAACGAAGCCGCCGCATATTGACTAGTTCTTGTCGATTTTTTCTATCAAAAAGCTAATTTTAGCGGTCATTCCACTTAACTCGGTCGAAAACGTGATTCCGATACATTTTTTGCTCTTTTTTTTGTCTTTATATCCTTCGAATAATGAAACGACCAGGAGCTCACAATTGTCTCATGTGGTAATAAAAAGTATGCTGAACAAGATGAAACATGTCAGAGCTCTCTAAGATTATGGAGTTTTATCAACAAAACAAACACACATTATTCATAAAAAGAAATATTTTTTAAGAGTAGTGTTGAATATCTTCGCAATGTCCTCATACTCTCTAAAAAAAACCTTTAATGGTTGGACAAAAATTTACCAAACCCCAAATCGTTCTATAATCACCTACAAAACCTTAACACTAGAACGCCCGGAAATTTTCATGACCTAGAACGCCCAAAGCGGTCATTTTGACCGTTACTGTTTTTTTTTAAAAATTTTATACTTAAAAATGGTTCTGAATTCAAAAATGAATTAAAAATTCTGCAAAAAATAATTTTTGTGGGACAAATTAAAAGTTATGCCATAATTTATTTTTAAATAAATTGTAT